GTTGTTAGGGATGTTACTTCCCTAGCAACCACAGTGTCTGACGACTTGGAAAGGACTACACTTGGAGGCTTCTCTGAGTTCGCTGAGCTTGGTTGCTAAGGAATGGCCCTTCCCTAGCCTTGGAGACAGTGAAGGGTCAGGTTGCTAAGGACGCGTAGCTTAGCAACCAAGGCCCTTGGAGGCTTTTCGTGGCTGTTGTGGACCCCGTTACCAAGAGGAGAACCCCACTGTTGGTGAACCTGTGTCCCCTGCCCCCTCCCTACTTTTCTCCCCAAAAAGGCTTCCTCTGGGCTACCCTCCCTTGTTGCCCTAGCAAATGCGACAGCCGGAGAGCTGTTGGCTGGCCACGATTCCCTCCTTAGCATCCGGGGCTGGGAGTAGCTGGTATCGGGAGGGGGCCTGGCTGAGTTGCATGTCTGTCCCCCACCCTCATCCTCCACCCCCCTCAGTCCGGAGAACGCGGCTTCCCTGGAATACGACTATGAGACCATCCGCAACATCGACTGCTATGGCACAGACTTCTGCGTGCGGGTGCGGGAGGGCATGCGGCACTGGAACAAGACGGTGCAGTGGTGGCTGGCGCAGTACATCTACAAGAGCGCGCCTGCCCACTCCTACGTCCTCAGGTGAGCCCCGCCCACCTCAGGCCGCATGTGCGGAACTACATCTCCCAGCAGCTCCTCCGGCGGCCTGCGGCTCTCGGCCAGGCATCTGCCAGTGAGGATCACGGGAGTTGTAGTTTCTTGAACTTGTTGGGCTGCCGTTGATTTGCATTGCTCCGGGATAACTCGTTCCCCCTCTGTGAGCCTGTTTCTACTTCTGTAAAGTCAGCGTCATTCGACAGCAGCATTGTAGCGAATCCCTTGGACTCAGTAGCCAGACCTTCTGGAAGCTTGACCCTGCCAGCTGTGGAGAAGCCTTGAGGAGTTGGTTGATTTCTGTTTCCTCAGCTGTTAAGTTGGGGGGAATGCCGTTACCTGTTTCATAGGTTGATGTGAGGATTAAGCAAGCTAAAGTGTGAAATGTACTTAAGGTGAGGCCTGACAGGTGTGTGCTCACTGTATATTAGCTTTTATTCTTCACTCATAGGAGATTTCTTCATCTCCCATTTTAAAGATGCGACTGAGGCTCAGAGAGGTTAGGTAACCTGCCGAGTGTCCCTCAGCCTTCTTGGAGCCACCAGATGAGGCCAGGATACACGTTCTCGTAATGAAGCTGTTGATGGCTGCTCTGGAGCCAGACTTAGCTGGTGCATGATCGGATTTATGATCTACAGATCCACTCCGGCCTTGTGTGGGGAATGGAGTCAAGGTGCAGGGAGGGAGCAGGAGGTAAAGCAGGAAGCCAAATTCAGAAGCCTTTGGGGCTGGCCAGGTGGGAGATGATGGTGTCCTGGCATAGAGAACAGTGGATAGAAAGGGGATGGTTTGAGAGGTGGAGTCAGGGCTTGGCATGGACTGGATGTGGGACATGGGAAAGAGGAAATGAAGCATGATGCCCAGGTGATGGGTGTGAGTGACTGAGGGCATGACAGGGCTATTTCCCAAGAAGGCAGGAGGAAGTTTCCGGAGTGGGTAGGATGAGGAAGTGAGACTTTGGTTTAGTTTCACTAACTTTGAGGTGACTGTTAGACATCCAGGTGGGGTCATTGGATAGGCAGTTAATTATGTGATTCCGGCATGTAAGGAAAGGTCAGTGTAAGAAGTGGACACTTGAGCATCATTGGGTATAGATGATACTTAAAGTTCTGGGGCTGAGCATCAGGTTTGTGTCAGATGGTGCCAGGGGCTTCAGTGCGATGAAGGCAAGTATGACCACTGGGCTGAGTGTGATGGGAGGAAGTTTCCGGCCACCTTGACGGGAGTAGTTTGGAGGGCGGAAGTGAAAGCCATATCGGATCGGGTTCAAGAGAGAATGGAAGGGAAGAAGTGTCAAGGAGGTGCAAGACGATTCTTTGGAGAGTGTTCACTACACGGGGGCAGCAGAACGGGGAGAGAAGAGTAGGATGGAGGCAGAGCGGCTGGAGAAAGGGCCACACGTTCAGGTGTGCATGTGTCCTAATGTCCCCCCGCCCCCCTCCACCCCGCCCCATTGGGGAAAATTTCTCTTATCCTGCCAACCCAGAGAATTCTCTCTCCACCATAGGTAGAAAAGAAGGAAAACAGTTTTATTACTAAACGTGAAACCAGATTACGATGCATGTTGCACGTAACAGCTAATGAGGTTACCAAGACGGAAAGAAATCTCACCCTTTATAGACCATCTATCCCTTACGGTCCTTTTGCATAGCATGTTCTAGAGAGAAACCATAGCTTGTCCTCAAGGAAGAGGACTCCCCAGCACTGTTCGCTATGCATTCTCTCACATTCATCCCAAAGTCACCTGGGAATTGGGGTAGCCACCTACGCTGGCTAAGTGTCTTTATCTGAAGGAAGAACAAAACTCCTATCTCTATGACAAGTAGGTAGTGACAGCTGGGCCAAACCTAGGATAACCCCCACGTGGCAGGGAGACAGGGACGTTTACATTTCAAAGAGATGGCTCCCAGACCCTCGAGAAAAACATGCCTGCACCGTAATGCTTTCTAGAGGCTTATTTCGCCTTTTCAAAGATCTACGTCTATGTCCAAAGGACAGAGGAAAGATTCTCAAACACTAGGTTTTTCAAGGAAATGGCCTAAGAAAAGAGAGGGAGGAAAAGTTCTCTCCTTTTGGCAAAAGGGAAAATTGAAGGGTCCTTTCTGTGGACCCTTATGCCCTCAAGGATGGGGCAGTCAGCATCATTGATGCCGATGGGCAGGAAAGATGCCGCCCGACCCCCCACGCCACAATCCATGGCAGAGCCTGCTGTGATTTCTGTGTCCTCCAAGAAGTGGATCAGAGTCCGAAAGTGGGGGTCCTCAAGGGCTAGGGAATTCGATTTTGGGGTCCATAAGGAGAGAGGAGCATGGCTGGCGATGTCTGCATCTTCCCAAAGAGGAAGCAGCTAGGGGCTCAGGTTTCTGGGTCCTGAAGGAAAGGGGTGCTGGGAGAGGGTGAGCTGGGTTCCTGAAGACAGGAGTAGAGACTCCTGCGGGAGGAAGTGGGGACAGACTTCTGAAATCTTGGGTTCTTGGAGGAGGGTGGGACCCCGGTTACACAGGAGGGTGGAGGGCTGAGGATTCCTATTTCCCTCCAGGGCAGGGACCATTGACTTCCTGGTTCTTCAAGAATACGGGAGCTGGCTCTGGGTCTTGGAGAGGAGAGGAACAGGACTCCTGGGCCCCAGAATAAGGAAGGGCCACAGACTGGGGCGTAGGCGTCTTCATGAGCTGGGACATTGGTTCCCAAATGCTAGTTTGCATTAGAATCACCTGCAAGACTTGTTCCATTAAAGATTTCTTCTGCCCCCTACCCCCCTGACTTTCTGATACAGGAGGGGTAGGGTGGAGCTCAAGAATGGATGTTTTCTAACAAGTTCCCAGGTGATGCTGATGCTGGACCAGGGACACACTGAGAACCACTGGGCTCTCAAAGGAATTAGACTTCTTGGTCCTGAGGAGAAAAGGCCATGGAAGAGAAAACTTTTAATCCTTAAATGGGGAGAGGGCGGAGGGTTAGGGTTACTAGGGTCTACATGGGGGGCTGGGGGCTCCTGGGCCTGAGGGAGGAGGGGCTAGGGGTCCAGACTCCCAGGTCTGAGGGGAGTGGGCTGCGGTCTAGACCCCTGGGTCTGAGGGAGGAGGAGCTGGGGGCCTGGACCCCTGGGTCTGAGGGAGGAGAGTCTAGGGGCCTGGACCTCTGGGTCTGAGGGAGGAGGACCTGGGGGCCTGGACTCCCGGGTCTGAGGGAGGAGGAGGCTAGAGGCCTGGGCTCCTGGGTCTTGACTCCCAGTGTCTCCCCCAGGAGCGCCTGGACCATGCTGCTGAGCGCCTACTGGCACGGCCTCCACCCTGGCTACTACCTAAGCTTCCTGACCATCCCGCTGTGCCTGGCGGCTGAGGGCCAGTTGGAGTCGGCCCTGCGAGGGCGGCTCAGCCCCCAGGGCCAGAAGGTCTGGAACTGCGTGCACTGGTTCCTGAAGATGCGAGCCTACGACTACATGTGCATGGGCTTTGTGCTGCTCTCGCTGGGCGACACCCTCCGGTATTGGGCCTCTGTCTACTTCTGCATCCACGTCCTGGCCCTGGTGGCCCTGGGGCTGGGGCTGGCTTTGGGTGGGGGCAGCCCCAGCAGGAGGAAGAGGGCGTCCCAGGGCACCAGCCTTGCCCCAGAAAAGCTCCGGGAGGAGTAAGCTGCCACAGCACTCCCTCCCTCAAAAGCCACTAAGCTTTTGCCTAGGAATTCTGTGAACCAGGCTGCTGTCTCCTTTCCCAGAGAGTCTTTAATTTGGCCAGGGGCCTGGGGCGGATTCTGCTCCCCTAGCTCATGAAGCATGGCAGGGGGCTCTCCTGGCTTCCCTGCCCTCTGCGCCTTGAGGTCTGCAGAAGGTCAGTTTTCCCTCCTGTCAAATCAAGATGTCCGGACAAGAATCTCCCTTTGTCCCTGCCACAGCCTCCAGGTGTTCAGAGAGCTGTGCTTCCCCAAACAGCGGGGGCTGACGGGCGACCTGTTTTCCTGGGCAAATTCCCTTTGGATGTGCAGGGCGGGTGTAGGAGCTTCAGGGCAGGTTCTGGGAGTGGGGGACCTCTTCCTTGTGGCTTTCACTCTCTTTTGTCTCATCAAACCAGTGTTTCAGAGCTGGAAAGGAACAAAACCGTCTTGTTTCATAAAGGGGATACTGAGGCACAGGGGAGCAGCCCTTTGGACTGTGGTTCTTGCAGCTTCCATCTGAGCCACCTCAGGGTCCCAGCACACCTGTCACCCTCTTGTCATCCTTTGGCCTAAGACAGGGTCTGAATGTGTAAATCTCTCCCAATAAAGTGTTACACAAAGACTGTGTGAGTGTCTGTGGGTGATCATCGATGTGGGGGTTCTTCTGCCCCCGAGACCTGGTGTGAAGTGCTACTGTCCCCCTCCCGGAACCACATTGCCAGGAGGCCCGGCAACAGCCACCCTGACAGTTTCTGGGAAGTGCACAGTGTTCCCTCCGGGCCACCTGGCAGCCAGGTACAGCCCTGCCCCCGGCCCCTCCCTCACCTGGGCAGTCCCTGCCCAGCCGGCTGCTAGAGACGGAAACACAGCTGCACCTGGGGCCATGGAGGGGAGCCTTATGTTGGAACCGGAGGCCTGGGGCTCCTCTGGGGCGTGGCCGGCACCTCGGGAGGCCAGAGCAGGTGAGAAAGCTAGGGGTGGTCAGGTCCAACCCCTCAGGCTGGCAGAAGTCTTGCGGGAGACGTGGCAGGGAGGCCTGGACTCTGGGCTCCGGGGGACAGGGCGAGGGGTTTTGATTTCTGGGTTTCTGGGGGAGAAAGCCAGGGACTCCTGGGTCCCGGGATGGAGTCTGGAGACCCAGGCTCAAGTCTTGGGAGGAGAGGGCCAGGGGCTGGGGCTCGGGTGTCTGAGGAACGGGAAGGGCCAGGGTCCAAAGATCCTGAAATAGAGAGACAAGGAAGTTGAACAGTGACCCAGACTCCTGGGTCTGAGGGAGGAGGGGCTGGGGGCCTGGACTCCCTGGTCTGAGGGAGGAGGGGCTGGGGGACTGGACTCCCGGGTCTGAGGGAGGAGGGGCTGGGGGCCTGGACTCCCTGGTCTGAGGGAGGAGAGGCTGGGGGTCTGGACCCCTGGTCTGTGGGAGGAGGGGGCTGGGGGCCTGGACTCCTGGGTCTGAGGGAGGAGAGGCTGGGGGTCTGGACCCCTGGTCTGTGGGAGGAGGGGGCTGGGGGCCTGAACTCTGGTCTGAGGGAGGAGGGGGCTGGGGGCCTGGACTCCTGGGTCCTCCCAGCCCCGTGTCCTCCTGCTGCAGGCCCGTCACTCTCCTCTGTGCTGAATGAGCTCCCCAGTACTGCTACTCTCCGGTACCGAGGCCCTGGGGTGCCGCCTTGGGGGGCACTGGAGGAGGATGATGAGGATGGAGAGAGGAGCATCCAGGCCTTGGCAGAAGCCGCCCAAAAGGAGCTGCAGGAACCTCACGCTTCCCGGGAACTGCCCTGGCCAATGCAAGCCAGACGGGCACACAGGTGAGGGCCCCACATCCTACTTTCCAGCCAAGTGTGGGCCATCCTTTCCCTTGTTGGGGCTCTGTCTACTTCTCATTGTCCTTCTGTCCTCCCTGCCTCCCTCAGGCCCCCATCTGTGTCTGTCTGTGTCTCTACTTTGTTTCCTCCCTGTCTGTCTCTACTTTTCTGACTCCAAGGAGTCCTGTCTTTCCGTGGCTCCAGACTTTTCTCTCTCACCCAGGTTCATGGTCTCTTTTCTCCCTCCAAACCCTGTCTCTACCCCTATTTCTCTTTGTGTGTCTGAAATCTGTTATTAGTTTTTTCCTCTTTGCTCTATGTCTTTCTCTGTCTCTCCTCCTCCTCTTCCAAGCCTATCACTCTTTTATTTCTGTCTTTCCTCTCTCCTTCTACATAATTTGCAGGGCCCGGTGAAAGATGAACATGCTGGGCCTCTTGCTCAACAATTATGCATTTCAAGATGGCAACAGCAGGGCCGGCCCCGTGGCTTAGCGGTTAAGTGCACGCGCTCCGCTGCTGGCGGCCCGGGTTCGGATCCCGGGCGCGCACCGACGCACCACTTCTCCGGCCATGCTGAGGTCGTGTCCCACATACAGCAACTAGAAGGATGTGCAGCTATGACATACAACTATCTACTGGGGCTTTGGGGGGAAAAATAAATAAATAAAATTATAAAAAAAAAAAAAAAGATGGCAACAGCAGAGCATTGGAGCAAGGGCAAGGCCCTTCTGAGAGCGGTGCCCTGTGTGTGACCCTTGTTTAGTTCTACAATTCTGGCACCAATTCTCATGTGTGTGTGTGTGGGGGGGGGGGGAGGCGTCCCCCACATCACCAACCAAGTCTCTGACACCAGCTGGGGGGTGTCCTACAATTCACCTCAACTATCTACCTGGAGATAGCATCAGATCCCACAGGTTAAGGGCTCAGTTCCACAATACTCCCCTCCAGATGCCAATTGCAAGTTCAGGTGGTCACCTGTGCCTATGACCCACTGGCTATAATTTTTATTTATTTATTTATTTTCCCCCAAAGCCCCAGTAGATAGTTGTATGTCATAGCTGCACATCCTTCTAGTTGCTGTATTTGGGACACGGCCTCAGCATGGCTGGAGAAGCGGTGCGTTGGTGCACACCCGGGGTCCGAACCCGGGCCGCCAGCAGCGGAGCACGTGCACTTAACCGCTAAGCCACGGGGCCGGCCCAGACCCACTGGCTATAAATCAGAGGTTCCCACGACCCCCTCCTTAGGTTAGATCAATTTGCTAGAGCAGCTCACAGAACTCAAAGAAACACTTTAGTTACTCGATTACTGGCTTATTATAAAAGGATATAACTCAGGAACAGCCAGTTGGAAGAGATGCATGGGCAAGGTATGAGGAAAGGGTGTGGAGCTTCTATGCCCTCTGTGCCCGCCACTCTCCCCGAATCTCCATGTGTTCACCAAACTAGAAACTCTCCGAACCCTGTCCTTTGGGGTTTTTGTGGAGGCTTCATTGCTAAGGCAGGATTGATTAAATCATTGGAAATGGGCAATTGATCCAACCTCCAGCCCCTGTCCGCTCCCCGGAGGTCAGGGGGCTGGGACTGAAAGTTCCAACCCTCTAAGCACATGGTTGGTTCCCCTGGCAACCAGCCCCCATACTTAGGTGCTTCCCAAAAGTCACCTCATCTACATAACAAGACACCTTAGTCCCTCTCAACTCTCCGGAAATTCCGAGGGTTTTAGGAGCTCTGTGCCAGGAACGGGGACAAAGACCAAATAAATATTTCTTATTACAAATCACAGTATTACACCTTCCTTCCTTTTTCCATTTCTTTTTTTCATTTTTATTTTATGATGATATTTGCCTACAGAAAAGTGCATGAAACATGATCTCCAGACTCAAAGTGTATTCCTATAGTGAGAGCCCAGGTAAACTTCTACAACTAGAGACACAACATCGCAGCTCCGCAGAAGCACCCCTCTCTCCCCACAGTAACTCCTTCCCAGACTTTTACGATCCTCACGCCTTCCTTGTCTTCCTAGCTTTGCCACCTGTGTCTGCATCCCTAAAGAGCCAACTTTCCGTGTGCTGGCTCTGGAGCTGTGTGGGAACAGAATCCTGCAGTCTCTATTGTCTGCCCTGCTGCCTAGGCTTAGCATTAGCTGTTTCTTTTTGTTGCTATTCCCTGGCACCAACATGCCACAGTTTACTTCCTGGTCCTCCTGCTGGGTTGTTTCTGCATTTGGGTGGTTTCCATTTGGGGCCGCTAGGCCCTTAATTTTCTGTCTCTGACTCTGTTTCCCTCCCAGGCAGAGCCACGACAGGGACCAAGCGGCTCTGGGCTCGGGGTCCAGGGTGACCCACTGGGCCCTGAGGCTTCGCAGGTCCAAGGAGAAGATGCGGGAAGGCTTGCGCACCTTGCTGCCCTGGGCGTGGACGCTGAAGAGGATTGGGGGTGCGGTGGGGTTGAGCTGGCATCTTGGGGCGAGCCGGACTCCCGAGTCTGAGGGAGGAGGGGCCGGGGACCTGGACCCCCGGGTCTGAGAGAGGAGGGGCCGGGGATCTGGACCCCCGGGTCTGAGGGAGGAGGGGCAGGGGGTCTGGACCCCCGGGTCTGAGGGAGGAGGGCTAGGGGCCTGGACTCCTGGTCTGAGGGAGGAGGGGCCAGGGACCTGGACCCCCGGGTCTGAGGGAGGAGGCCTAGGGGCCTGGACTCCCGGGTCTGAGGGAGGAGGCGCCGGGCTCGGACTCAGAGAGGAGCCCCAGGCCTCTCTCTGCCGCCCCCTGCAGGCCAGTTCGGCGCCGGCACCGAGTCCTACTTCTCTCTGCTTCGCTTCCTGCTGCTCCTCAACCTGCTGGCCTCGGTGCTCAAGGTCTGCATGGCGCTGCTGCCCACCTGGCTGGAAGGGGCGCCTCCTGGTCCCACTGACTCTGGCACCTCCTCGCCCTGCGGCTCCTACGACCCCCGCCCCCAGGGCCTGATCGCCTTCCCCACCCAGCTCTTCAACTTGCTCTCTGGAGAGGTGCGCGCCGGGGTCCCTGGGAGACCCGTCTAAGCCCCAGTGCCCGCCCCCTCACTGCCCAGCTCCCTGAACCCCGCCTCCGCCCAGCCCCACGTGACCCCTGCCCTTCCCTCCCCAGGGTTTTCTAGAATGGTCTTATCTCTTCTATGGGTTCTACCCGCCCCGCCCGCGCCTGGCCGTCAGCTACCTGTGCTCCTTCTTTGTCATTGGCGTCCTCCACATGCTGCTCATCCTGCGCCGGTCAGTGACCCCGACACCCAGCCCCGGACCCAGGGGGTACTAGCGGTGGTAGAAGCCCCCTCCCCAAGAATCCTGAGTCTTGCTCTGTCATCCCTTTCTCTCTGAGTTGAAATCGAATTTTAAAAAATGCTTCCTAAGTGCTAAAGACCAGGGATAAAGATGGGAAGTGTCTCCCTCCTGTGGCTTAGAGTCTAGTGGGGAAGGTAAGAGATTAAACAAGTAAGCAAATTAATGACATCTTTTCTGGAGGGGAAAATGCTGTGTAGGAGACAAATAGGGGTGATTCATTCATTCATGAAATAAATATTTATTGAGCAGGTGCTGTGTGCTGGGCATTGTTCTAGGCAGTTGGCAAAATAGGAGAACAAACCAACCAACCCAACAGAGTCCTGTCCTGATGGAGCCTACATTTTAGCAGAGGGAGACAGAAGATATGCAAGAAGCCATAAATGAGTCAATTACGTGGCCTGTTAGAAGGTGATGAGGGCTCCGGGTACCAGGAGAGTAGGTAAGGGGAGACTGACAGTGATCCTGGGCCAGGCTGCTGTACGAATAGGTGGTCCAGGAAGCCTCACTGAGAACGTGATGTTTATGCAAAGATGTTGAGAAGGTGAGGGATTTGGTCAAGCAGATACCCGGGGAAGGAGGATTCCAGGCAGAGGGTACAGCTGGGGGAGCAAGGCAGGAGTAAGGCTGGCACGTTGGAGGGTGAATAAGGCAGCCTGTAGGGCTGGAGCAGAGTGAGGCAGGGGGAGAGCCCAAGGAGATGGGGCCGCATTCTGTAAAGAGTTTGGCTTCTTTCTGTGTGAGCTGGGACTCATTGCAGGTTCTTGAGCTGAAGATCATCCTCGTCTGATTTAGGTTTTAAAAGAATTCCTCTATGGCTCTGTGGAAGGGAGAGGGGTGACGGGGAGGGAAAGGGAGAGAAGGAGAGAGAAGGGGAGACAGGAAGAAAAGGAGGGAAGGAGAGAGTTTAATAGATGAGCAAGGCAGCAGCCAGTAGAATAGTTATGAAGCTATTGGAATAATCCAGGCAAGAGACGATGGTGGCTTGGACCAGGTGGTGATAAGGGGTCGATTTTGGATTTATTTCTCCTTTTTTTTTACATTCAATTTTTAAAAATTGAATTCTTTTCTTCCCCTAGCTTTATTGAGATATAATTGACACACACACATTGTGTGAGTTTAAGGTGTACAACGTGTTGATTTGATACATTTATATATTGCAATGTGATTACCACTGTAGCAGCAGCTATGCCTGCATCGCATCACAGTTACCATTTCTTCTTTGTGGTGAGAACATTTAAGATCTACTCTCTCTGCAACTTTCAAGTATATAATACAGTATTGTTAACTATAATCAGAATGCTGTACCTTAGATCCCCAGACCTTATTCATCTTAAAGCTGGAAGTTTGACCAGCATCTCCCCATTTCCCCCCACTCCCCCAGCCCCTGGTAACCACCATTCTACTCTCTGTTCCTATGAGTTTGGCTTCTTTAGATTCCACATATAAATCATACAGTATTTGTCTCTCTCTGTCTGACTTACCTCATTTAGTATAATGCCCTCAAGGTCCATCCATGTTCTCGCAATTGGCAGGATTTCCTTCTTTCCTGTGACTGAATAATATTCCGTTGTATGTATGTACAACATCTTTATCCATTCATCCACTGACACTTAGGTTGTTTCTATATCTTGGCTACTGTGAATAATGCTGCAATGAACATAGGAGTACACATAACTCTTTGAGATCCCGTTTTCATTTCCTTTGGGTAAATACCCAGATGTGGGATTGCTGGATCATATGGTAATTCTATTTTTAATTTCTTGAGGAAGCTGCATATTGTTGTCCATAGTGGCTGCACCAGTTCCCACCAATAGTAGACAATGATTATTCTCTTTTCTCCACATCCTTGCCAATGCTTGTTATTTCTTGACTTTTTGATAATAGCCATTCTGATGGGTGGTGGGAGGTGATATCTCATTGTGGTTTGCATTTCCCTGGTGATTAGTGATGTTGAGCATCTTTTCGTGTGCCTATTGGCCATCCGTATATCTTCTTTGGAAAAATGTCTATTCAAGTCCTCTGCCTGTTTTCTAATCGGGTTGTTTGGGGTTTTTTGCTGTTGAGTTGTGTGAATTCTTTATATATTTTGGATATTAGCCCCTTATCAGATACATGATTTGCAAATATTTTCTCTCATTCTGTAGGTTGCCTTTTTGTTTTATGGATTGTTTCTTTTACTGTGCAGAAGGTTTTTAGTTTGATGTAGTTCCCCTTGTTAATTTTTGCTTTTGTTGCATGTGCTTTTGGTGTCATATCCAAAAGATCATTGCCAAGACCAATGTCAGGGAGCTTTTCCCCTATGTTTTCTTTTAGGAGTTTTTCAGTTTCAGGTCTTATGTTTAAGTATTTAATCCATTTAGAGTTAATTTTTGTGAGTGGTGTAAGATACGGGTCCAATTTCATTCATTTGCATGTGGTTATCCAGTTCTCCCAACACCATTTATTGAAGAGACTGTCCTTTCTCCATTGAGTATGTGAGCTCCCTTGTCAAATATTAGTTGACTGTGTATATTTTTTATTTTTAAAATGTCACACACATCCAGAAAAATGCACAAACCAAAGGGTAGAACTTGTTAAGTTCCCACCCATATCAAGAAATAGAACATGATCAGCCTCCAGAAGCCCCCTCAAGACCCCTTCAAGCTACCACACTCCCCCACCCCCACAGAAAGCACCATCCTTTCTATTAACACCATAGATTGCTTTGGCCTGTTTGGACTTTATTTAAATAGAAACTCTGGATATATTTTGAGAGTAGAGCGCACAGGATTCCCTAAAACCTGGATGTGGGGTATGGTGAAAGATGGAAGTTAAGAATGACCCCAGGTGTTTGGCCTGAGCCACTGGAAGGGCGGAGTTGCCGTTAGCTGAGGTGGAGAGGGCTGCAGAAAGAGCAGGTTGGCGAGGAATATTGGGAGTGCAATTTTGGACCAGTTGATTTTGAGATGCCTTTTGGACGTACGAAGGGAATGTTGAGTAGTAGGCAGTTGCATACGTGGGTTCTGGACGGGAGCCTGCACTGGAGATAGAAATTTGGGACTTGCTGGCATCCAGGCAAGACTGGGAGATCCCCAGAGGAAGGGATTTCGGTCAAGAAGGAAACCAAGGACTTAAGAACAACGAAAGGGCAATGTCTCCTAAATGCCAAGCACTGGGCCAGGGTCCAGGGACACCAGTTGGGGTCCTCCTACCTTTGCACAGCTGATAGTCTGGTAGAGGAGATAAGCTTCAAGACAGACTGTTAAATAAAACAAGCAGATCAACAATTTTAGTTTGGGAGCAATACTATACAGAAAACAAATGGGATAGTGTGAAAGAGAAGGGATCAGCGCATTTTTTCTGATAAAACAGGAAAGGCCAGGTAGGAAATACTTTCATCTTTGCGGGCCGTAAGGTCTCTGTCTCAGTTAAACTCTGCTGTTGTAGGCAGAAGTATGTAACAAGTGGGCGTGGCTGTGTTCCAATAAAACTTTATTTACAGAAACAGGATTTGGTCCTCGGGCCATAGTTTGCCACCCCCTGTGACAGCGAATAATGGATGGGGACCCTAATTAGATGGAGCTGTCGGTAAAGACTCTCTGAGGAGGTGACCTGTAGATGGAGACCAGAAAGACAAGAAGGAGCCAGTCAGGTGAACAGCCAAGACACATGCATTCTAGGCAGAGGGAACTGCAGGTGCAAAGGCTCTGTGGTGGAAAGAGGTTTGAAGTGTTCTGGGAAATGAAAGGCTAATATGAGGAGGAGGATTTGGCCAGGATTTGAGCTCAGAGAAGTAGGTAGGGGCCAGATCAGGTGGGCCGTGGGCAGCTATGCTATCAAGGAGCATAGACTTCCAGGACAAGAAGCTGTGGGATAAGTTTTAAACTGGTCTGTATCTGATCTGTATAAAAAGAAGGTTCCACTGGCTCAAGAACAGAGAATGGATTCCAAGAGGGCACAGGTGGAAGCAAGGAGGCCGGGGGAGTCCTGTGTAGTTGTCCACTGGAGAGATGACGGGGGCCTGCACCGGGGTGGTGAAGGTGATATGGCATCTCTGCCCAGTTTTCTCTGTTTCTTGCCCTTTCACTGGTTCTCTATCTCCTCTCCGGGTCTTTGCCCTGCTCTCTGGAATCTTTTTACCTGCCCCCTCGATTCTCTGAGTCTCTGTCCTCCTTTTTCTGGGTCTTTCTCCCCCACCGGCTTTCTCTAGATGTCTGTCCTTCTCTCCCTGAGTCTCTGACCCCCTCGTTCTAGATCTCTTTTTCCTCCTCACTGAGTCTTTGTCTCTCTTTCTCTGAATCTCGGTCCCCTGTGGGGTCTTTCTCCCCTCTAAATCTCTGTCCCCAGGGTCCTTGTCCCTCTCACTGTGGGTCCCTGTCCCCTTCTCTCTGGAGGTCTGTCCCTGTCTCCTAGGTTTCTGTCTCTCTCATTTGGGTTTCTTTCCTCCTCTGGGTCTATCTCTGAATCTCTCTCTTGGTCTTTGTCCCACTGACTGGATCTCTGCCTCTTTGACTCGTTCTCCGCCAGGTAGCAGCTTGCCAAATGCCAAAGGTCTTAGGGTTCATTTTCTCTGTCCCATAAGAGGGGTGGCCCCCCTGCTCGTGGCTGTCCTGCCACACCCCGTCTCCTGGGTCTCCCCTTTCTTAGCTCGGTGTCTTGGCTGAAGCAAATGTTGTTGGCTGAGTCAGGGGCCATGACCAGCTACAGCCATCGGGTGTTCTCCGCCTGGGACTTTGGCCTCTGCGGGGATGTGCACGTGCGGCTGCGCCAGCGCAACATCCTATACGAGTTGCAGGTGCGCTTAGGGGGCGGGGCCTACAAATAGATGGGGTCCAGGGGGGCGGGGCTGAGAGAATGGGCGGGCGCAGACCAGGGACGGGGCTTCCGGAGAGATGCTGGGCGGAGCTTTTCTCTAAGGAGGCGGGCTTTGGAGGATGAGCGGGTTGGGAGGAGGCCACGGTAGGGATGCCTGAGGTCAAAGGGTACAGGAAAAAGCTAGCAGCAGGAAAGGGGCGGGGCCTTAAAGCTCCTTGGTTCAAAGTTAAGAGAAGAGCGTGGCCAGAAAGGGTTTGATAAAGTAGAACTGGAGGGGCCGGCCCGTCGCTTAGCGGTTAAGTGCGTGTGCTCCACCACTGGCGGCCTGGGTTCAGAACCCCGGGCGGGCACCGACGCACTGCTTCTCTGGCGATGCTGAGGCCGCGTCCCACGTACAGCAACTAGAAGGATGTGCAGCTATGACATACAGCTATCTACTGGGGCTTTGGGGGAAAAATAAATAAGTAAAAATAAAAAAAAAAAAAAACTGGAGAAACTCCCTACCTGACGTGAGTGCTGGGTGGGTGTTGGAGGGGCGGGGCTTTGGGTGCTGAGCTTGCCTTGGGGGGCGGGGCATGAGGTCCTGGGCGGAACCTTGGAGGGATGTGCCCAGATGCTGGGCGGGGCTGCAGAGGGGCGGGGCATGTGTTGGGCGGGGCCACAGGAGGGTGTGGCTTTGGATGCTGGGATCGGCCTCGGGAGGGCTGGGCTGATGAGGGGTGGGGCTTGCTGCTGGGTAGAGCCGTGGAGGGGTGTGACCAGCTGTTGGGTGGGTCCGCAGGCGGGCGGGGCACGTGCAGGGCGGGGCCCCGGAAGGTTATGGCTTTGGGTGCTGCGCGGGGCCGTGGGGGGGGTGGTCAGACCTAAATTGTCAGCGAGAGGTCCCTGGATGGGCTGGAACCAGGATTATAAAAGTCCTTAGAGGGGCCCTTAGAGGGGCAGTGCTCCATCCTGGGGGAATGGAACTCAAGCGTACGTGTCTCCTGGCCTCAGGTGGAGCTGGAGGAAGCCGCGCTGCGGCGCCACGCTGCCTTGCGGACCCTGGGGCAGCAAGCGAGGTTGTGGTCCTGGCGGATGCTGCTCCACCTGCTGGTGCTCGCGCTCCTGGGGGCAGCCCTCTACGGCATCTACTGGGTTACAGGGTTCACTGCGGAGCTGCAGGTGTGGAGGGTCCTGGGGGAGGAGGGTCTGGGAGTCCTGGAACCTACGTTTCCAAGGGAGGAGACTGAGATCTATGATTCCTGGGATCTTAGAGAGGAGGGATCTGGGGGAGGGAGGTTATGTTTGCACCTCAGACTACAGGATCCTGTAGGAAGAAGGGGCTGGGGGAGGATGTCACGCGTGGCTCCTCCATGACCCAGAGCCTCTTCTCTAGGCCCGCTCTGCTTCCCAGGAGAGGCCCAATGTTCAGCAGACGCCGCTGCTAAGGCTCGTGGTGAATTACCTCCCGTCCATCTTCATCTCCGTGGTCAACTTTGTGCTGCCACCCGTGTTCAAGCTCATTGCCTCGCTAGGGGGCTATACCAGGAGCCACCAGATTGTTCTTATCCTGCTCAGGTTCCAGCCCTCTGGGATGGGCTGGGGATGATGCTGGGACCGGTCTAGGGACATTGGTTCTAGCAGATAAGTCACGGAAATCCCGAGGATATGGGTTATCCAGTGAGATCTAGATTCAAATCCCTCTCTCTGTCGCTGAGCCTGTTTCTTTGTCTGTGAGATGGGGAGAATTGTAAGCGCGTTCCACACAGGAGGGTCCTGGCTCTTGGTGGGCACTCAATCAGTGCTGATTCCCTTCTCCCTTCCCCTTGCCAGGACCATGGTTCTCCGCCTGGCCTCTCTGCTGGTCCTGCTCGTGTCTCTCTGGAATAAGATCACTTGCGGGGGCAATTCGGAGGCTGAAGATTGCAAAACCTGTGGCTACGATTACAAAGAACTTCCAGTGAGGAGGACAGGGGGCTGGGACTCCTGGGTCCTTGAGGGAAAGCAGGAGCTGGGTAGGTCCAGACTCCTGATTTGGGAGGAAGGCGGAGCTTGGGTGCTAGAACACCCTCCCCTTGAGGACAGAAGTATGGATGTTTGAAAAAACTGAGAACCCCGAGAGAAAGTATTGATGTGCTTGCAATTCGGAGACTTTGATGCTTGGGCCTCCGGACGCCTGGGTCCTGGGGTCTTTCTGACCCTTTTCTTCCTTCCTCAGTGCTGGGAGACTAAGGTGGGGCAGGAGATGTACAAACTCCTGCTTTTTGATCTGCTGACGGGCCTGGCAGTTGCGCTGCTCCTCCAGTTTCCTCGAAAGTGAGAGCCCCGCCCCTCACCCTGCCCCCCACATTGGGACAGGCCCCGCCCACCACCCTGTGCGCTTCTTCTTTGCCCCGCCCCTTTTCCAGCCCCGCCTCTGACTGCTCAGTTTCTTCGCCCTGTCTGCAGACCCCACCCCCTTCCAGGTGTTAGGTAGTTACTTCCCTCTGGCCCCGCCCTCTTGACACACCTCCTCCAGAACCTTGAAAGCTCCGCCTCCTCAGATATGCTCACTTCTCATTGGTGGGCGGGATGGTGGAGGCGGGGAAACCTGGGCTGGCACGCCTCTGACTTGTCCTGGTCCCGCCCCTCAGGCTGTTCTGTGGGTTCTGTCCCGGGGCGCTGGGTCGCATGATGGGGACCCAGGAGTTCCAGGTACCCGACGAGGTGCTGGGGCTCACCTACGCGCAGACGGTGGTCTGGGTGGGGAGTTTTTTCTGCCCTCTGCTGCCCCTGCTCAACACGGCCAAGTTCCTGCTGCTTTTCTATTTGAAGAAGGTGAGGGGTGGCGAGAGCACCCTTGGGTCTGCAGCGGGAGATAGTGGGGCCTGGACTCTGGCTCCTGAGGCGGGGAAGGAGACTGAGGGATGTGACTCCTGGGTCCTGGGGGAGGAGGATGTGAGGGACCCGGACTACTAGATCCTGAGAGAGGAGGGGGCTGGAGGACAGACTCCTGGATGTGGGAGAACAAGGGGTCTAAGGCATCCCAAATTTTAGGTCTGTGAGAAGAGGGGACCCAGACTCCTGGGTCTGATGGTGGGAAAGGCCTGAGGACTCCTGAATCCTGACTGAGGAGGGGCCAGGACTCCTAGATGGTGAAAAAGGAGAGGCTAGGCTCAGACTCCTGTGTCTCAGATTCTCTCCTTCCCCACCAGTTCACCCTCTTCTCCACCTGCTCCCCGGCCTCCCGCACCTTTCGGGCCTCCACGGTGAATTTCTTTTTCCCCCTGGTCCTTCTCCTGGGTCTGGCCATCTCCGCCGCTTCTGTGCTGTATGGCATCTTCCTGTAAGTGTGAGAGGCGCTGCCTCTCTCTCCCTCTACCCTCATCCAGGGTTCTGACTCTTGGCCATCCTTGAGCTCTGCCTGTCTCTGACTTCAGGATCCAGCCTTCTAAGCTCTGTGGTCCATTCCGGGAGCTGTCATCCATCTGGGCCCAGATCCCTAAGTCTATTTCCAGCCTCCCTCAGACCACCCAGAACTTCCTTTTCTTCCTGGGGACCCAGGATTTTGCTGTGCCCCTTCTGGTGCTCTCCAGGTGAGGGGGCCCAGACTCCTGGGTCTGAGTTTGAATGCGTGTGATCTGGGGCCCCCGCTGCCTGCGTCCGAGAAAGGGGCTGGGGTCCCAAACTCCTGGGCCTGAGGGAACGAGGGGGCTGGGAGCCTGGACTCCTGGGTCTGAAGGAGGAGAGTTTTTAGGGTCTAGACCCCTGGTTTCTAAGGAGCCATACGTTGAAGATATTCTAAGAGCGTTTGGGGACTGCCTTCCATTTCTGTCTCCTCTAGCATCCTGATGGCGTATACCCTGGCCCTCGCTAACTCATATGGACGCCTCATCTCTGAGCTCAAACGCCAGATAAAGACGGTGAGCCAGGCCGGGTCCCTGGGAAGGGGTCCTGAGGGACATGTAAAGGGACACGGGGGACAGAAGGTCTGTCTCACCTCCACCTCTCTTTACTCTCTACTCCAGGAGGCGCAGAATAAAGTCTTCCTGGCACAGCGTGCTGTGGCGCTGAGTTCGGCCAACGGGGCTCTTTGACCTCCCCAGCCTGGCTCAGGGTGACGGCCCACTTTCAGACCCAGACCTGCCCCCAGACCCTTTGTAAGCCTCTGCCATGTCATCTGTAAAATGGAAGAACTGGAGAAGACCCCACGCCCTTCCAGCCCTAGAATTCGCTGCCAAGTCCCTGACTCCCCAGTGAACCTCTTTCTTGTATTAATAAACACAGTCGTGGCTGCTGAGCGCTCTTTGAAACTTGTGTCCTGAAGCCGGGGACAAGGCTCCAGAGGGAGACAAGCCAATCAGACGTATTGGCCTCGGGAGGAACCGACGGGCGTGGCAGCCAATCGGCGGCCGCGTCCGGTAGCGTCGGGGGCGGGGACATTCGTCGTTGGCCCAGAACCTTCATACGAGGCAGTCGCTAGGCGACACCAAGCGCGATTCGGGACGAGAATCTCAGCCAATCAGCTCTCGCTACAGACCCTGAGGGGGCGTGTCAATTAGCCCAGGGCCAATCCGTGTCCGAGACGGGAACAACAGGGAGGGGCATCCTCTCGCCAATCGGAAGTGCTTAGGAGGCGGGCCTGCCAGTCTGTGGACGACTACGGCGCCATGAATATCTTGCCCAAGAAGAGCTGGCACGTCCGGAACAAGGACAATGTCGCCCGCGTGCGGCGTGACGAGGCCCAGGCCCGAGAGGAGGAGAAAGAGCGTGAGCGGAGGGTGCTGCTCGCTCAGCAGGAGGTAAGGTCCGAGTGCGGCCGGGCAGGGCTCCCGGGCCGACCGCGCAGGCGCCTGGGGGGGGGGAACCGGAAGTGAGGGCAGCGCAGGCGCAGTGCGTCCCGTGCGGGTTTAGGGACCCAGCGCGGGTGGAAGTGCGTTCGGGTCTGCGCGGGGACCCCTTCGCCCTCGCCCTCGCGTTGATTTCCCCTATTCGCGTGCTTCGCCAGGCCAAAGCGGTGCCTGGCATAGAGTAGGAGCTTATGAATAAATGAACCCCTGGGCAGTTCAAGGAACCTCGGACCACTTTTTAGTTTGCCTACACAACCTGTTTATTGAGTGCCTGCTGTATGCTTGCACAGTGCAGAGCGCTTACTTGCGAAATCTCTCAAGCGCCGTTCGTTCTTAGAGGGACGCTGTCACCTACCTTCAGAGAAGTGAGATGGCTTCCGAGGAAGCCACAGCGAAGTGACAGTGGGACAAGCCGATTCCGCTCCGTGGGCGAGCCCTTTCCCTGCACTGGACTCACACACAAACACCAGAGGCTCTCTTTATAGCTCCTAACCTCTGGTTTACACCCACCTTTCAGTCCTTTAGCCAATCTGATCCTCAGCACTAGCTGGGAAGTGGCCTTGGCTTTTAAAATTCACATTTATGAGTAGAAACTGCAAATAAGCTGGGGGTAGCGACTTGGGGCCCTGCCTGGAATTCAGAGCGCCTGTCCTAATACACGTTTTGGCTGCCTTCATAGTTGTTTTTATTGTGTCACCCGAGATTAAGAACCCTCTGGCTTACTGTTTGAAAGGCGTTGCCTCACTCCCCACCCTGGGACGGGTGCTCTTCCGGGCTCCTAGTGCCTCTGCTCCCTTTCTTGTAGTCCCCCGCACTATGGGCTGCGATTTTCTGTGGTCGGCACCAGACTCAGTTCCTTGAATTACATCTAGATTCTCAATGTTCTGCCTGTACCTTTCTTTTCCCCCAGGCCCGCACAGAATTCCTGCGGAAGAAAGCCAGGCATCAGAACTTGCTACCTGAGCTGGAAGCAGCAAAGCGGGGAGCCCCAAGTTCTGGCCCTGTGGACCTGTTTCGGGAGCTGCTGGAGGAAGGGAAAGGGGTGACTGGAGGCAATAAAGAGTACGAGGAAGAAAAGCGACAGGAGAAAGTAAGCTGGCCTCACCCTGCATCACAGCAGTCAGGCTAGAGCTGGGGGAAGGGCACTCTGCCCCACTATGTGACCGACAGGAGTACAGGGAGATGGTGGGGGTAAGTGAGTGTGTCAGTTATTGCCATCCAGGCCTGCGGAGACTTGGAAGCGGGTGCTGGAGCCCCCAGCTCTGGGGCTGCTAGGTACAGACCCCTCAGATCTCCAACCTTATGTCAGGACCCTAGAGAGATTTGGAAAGTGTTAAGGAGCTTTGCAAAGTGTAAACCAGATCCTGACACTCACCCACTCTCAGGAATTTCTCACCAGACTCTGATTGCCTGCCGCCTGCCTCAGTCCCTCCTTTGCCTTACTTGCTTCTTTTAGGTTTTTCTTCAAGTTATCTCCCTGAAGGTGCCACCTTTGAACCCTAAAGCAGTTCCACCCCATCCTCCCCTTCCCATGCTTTTTGTTACTGAACCTGCCGTTGTCCTCCCAGGGCAGGAGCCCACCTGTGTCGGTCTGTTGTGTCCCCAGCACCTGGCAGAGTTGGCTCATGATAGGCCCTCAACTATTGGCTGAATGACTGGTTCTGCCTCCGCCGCCTTGGGGGTCCCTGTGGTCACATCCAAGGCTCCCCAAGGGGAGACACACTTGACATTCTCTCTTCCATATTTTCTCGTCCCCTCAGGAGAAGCAAGAGAAAGCTCTGGGCATCCTGACATACCTGGGCCAGAGTGCAGCGGAAGCCCAGACACAGCCCCCTTGGTACCAGCTCCCCCCCAGGCGAGGGAACCCCCCACCTGGCCCTGGACCAGATGAGAAGATCAAGAACCGCCTGGACCCTCTGTGTGAGATGCAGAAGCATCTGGGGAAGAAGAGACGGCACAGTGGTGACAGTGGTGGTTGCAACAAAAAGGAAAAGAAGGAGGGGTCTGAGAAGCATCGGCCCAAAGAGTAAGGAAGCCTGCCATGGCCTGTGTGGGCACCACAGAAGCTCTGGCTGCGACAGGAGGACACTCAGTCAGGAGCTGGCTGGGTAGAGAAGTGGTTCTCGATGTGGGCTCCAGCGACCTGGGGGGGCCTGACACCCCTCAGGGGGTCTGCAGTCAAATCTGTTTTCATAACACCACCACATAACTTTTTCACTCTCATTCTCAAGTGTACAGTGGAGGTTTCCAGAGGCTCTGTGATGTGAGAAGATGCCACTGCTCTGATGGCTGGGGAACACACGCTTGTGTCTTCAAGTTTTCTTAGTATTAGTAGATAAATTCACTGAAACAAAAGCTCTTGGGGTCCATTTTTAAGAGGCCAACGAGTTTGAGAACCACTGGGCTAGGGAAAAGCGGGTCTGTGCCCCAGGACGCCAGCCCCCATGAGCAAAGGGTATAGACTGACCAGTCTCCTTTCTTCTCCCGAAGGGGAAGCTGAGGCCCCGAGGGCCAGGGTGTGCTCAGGTCACACAGCTGATCTACAGCGGCCTGAGGGGCACCTGACTATAAAGCCTGGGGAGGACAGAGGCCCACGTGAGGGGAGGCCTGGGTCCTTGCCCCTGGGGGGGTAAGGCCAGCACCCTGGCCTCGGGCAGGGGCTCCAGTTATAGAGCCCTCTTCAAGAGGCTGGGGAGGGTGGGCCCTCCTAGGGGTACTAGCTTTCTGACTGGACTCCTTTTCTCCCAGACCCCCGTCCCTGGACCAGCTTCGAGCTGAACGTCTCCGGCGAGAAGTGGCTGAGAGGGCTCGTGCAGAGGCCCTGCTGGCCCGAGTCCAAGGCAGGGTGTCCCAGGAGGATCAGCCAGAAGAGGCGGACGATCGGCGGAGGCGGTACAACTCCCAGTTCAACCCCCAGCTGGCCCGGCGCCCCCGCCGGCAGGACCCCGCCTGGCTCATTGACTCCTGAGGGGTACAGGAGAGGCCGCTGCTGCCAGCCGTCATATAAAACTATTTATTCATAAATATTTTCCAAAATGAAAATAGGTTTACCAAAAAATGTCCCTCACTGGGGAGGGGAGGAGGGGGCAGCCCTCGCCCCCGGGCCCCCAGGGCGGGGCTGGGAGGAAGACAAAACCTCCCAGCCGCCTCCCTGCTTCCTGGGGGAGGAGGCTGCCCCATGGCCTGGGGCCTCCCCCAAGTCTTCCAGGGCAGGGCCTTCACCTGGGCAGGGGGATCAGCATGCGGGGGGAGGGGAGGGTGGAGGGAGGGGCCGGTGTCACTGGAGGTCCCGGTCCTCCAGGTAGCGGTACTCAAAGGTGAAGCCTTCCTTCTTCCGCTGGCCCCACTTCTCGTAGTCAAAGTAGATGTAGGTGCCCTGGCCGGGGGAGAAGGCGGTCAGTGAGTGGACGAGGAGGTGGTCGGGGATCTGGGCCGGACCGACAGACAGAGGGGACAGTTCTTAGGGCCACGGATGTGCCAGGCACCAGGCCAACTGCCCTGCATGCATGCTCTTCTCAGGTAGGAAACGTTATCACGCCTGCTTTAGAGGAAACGGAGGGAGGCGCAGAGAGGTCACGCCCGAGGTCGCGTGCCAGAGCTGGGCCTCAGCCCCGGCACATTTGGAAAGCCTTCTATTGCTTCTCATGATGGCTGTGGCTTTTGAGCACTGATCAGGTGCAGAGTACGTGATGTATATCCTAGCATTTAGTCTTCACAAAACCCTTGAGGCCATTACCCCGTCCTAGAGAATGGAACAGGCTCAGAGTCTACATCCAGGCGCGCTGCTGGGACAGACGTTTTATTGGTGACAGTGATGGTGTGGGACTCTTGGAAGGACTGACTGATGCCGTGAAATAAACTAACTCGGATGATTACTCTGGACCAAAGCAGGACGGGCAGGAAGTCTGCGGTTAGCGTCAGAGGACACGGGGAAGGGGGCTGGGTTCTGAATGAATGTCTGAAATGCTTCAAAGAACTGAGGGGAGGGGACTGAGCTCTGAGGACAAGGACCTTGTTCAGTACTTGGCATCAGGCAAATATTTGGTGGAAAAACCACTGTGGAACAGAACACACCAACTAAAAGTAATTTGAAACAAAATACGCCCATGACACTTACTACGTAGCAGGCACCATTAAGTACTTACATGTTATTAACTCATTTAATCCTCATAACAACTACATAAGGTGGGTCCTGTCACCCTGTTTTTACACATGAGGAAATGCAGACAGAGATTCAAGTGATTTGCCCAAGGTCACCCAGCTAGAGTTAGGTTCAAACCCAGGTAGTCTGGCTCCAGAGTGTTTGAGAGAAGTGGGAGGTTCCAATCAATTATCAGAACACAAGAAGGTCATTAAAACAAATAGCTTCCCCATTTGTATTTGCTGAGCCCCTGCTCTGCTGGTGCTGGGGACCAGGGGAAGGAGACTGACAAGGTCTCTGTGCAGTGCAGCCGTGGTCTTGG